CTTTTCTTCTGGTTTGGTTGGTTTCTTTGGTTGTCTTCCTGGTACATTTCCCACTTCCTTCTCTTTGGTCTGTGGACACACACACACACACACACACACACACACACACACACACACACACCTGCTTGTCAGGGAACATCAAGAGCAGGTAGGTAGTCATGGAGAAATAAAAACACTACTACTCCTAGCCCACACTCAGATGACAACTTTTTCATTGCTCCCGGATGAGTCACAGTGAACCCCAGCATCTCCGGGGAGACTGTCCTGTGGTGGTGGCATAGCACCAACTAATATTCACACATCTTTGTAGAATACAAGAGGTAAATCCACCATCCATGACCTTGATACAAAACAAAGCAAATTTTAATTACCTAAATTTCATGTTATTCATTTGATTCTTTATTGGCTCAAACAGGGGCTTCTTTTCATCATGCAGATAAATATAAAGCAGTATATGTGATATAAAAACAGGCTTTTCTATATGACTCGTCTTAAATCTTCTATAAAGATAGAAAAGAATGAGGATTAAAGTGCCCATGTCCATTAAAATGAGTAAAAGTACACTTGATTAAGGGAGGTAATGTATGCTGATGTGTTCTTTATGCTGCAAGCATGGTATAAATGGAGCATTGCCACCACCGGAGGAAATGGCCCTTGAAGCTATTTTGCTGGAGAAGGAAGCTGTGGGGTTGAGGCAGAGGCCTGGAAGCGACGGGCTCTGAGGCCGGGCCAGCTCTGACTGGGCTTCTTCAATGTCATCACGTTGCTGCTGGAATATCTGAAGGTACTTCATATCTGCAGGTGCCACAGTTCATATGTGCTTTACCAAAACAAAGCACCCCGGAGGCAGGCTTTCGTTTGGGCAGGAACGGAGAGAGGATTCATGCCCACAGCGGACTGCTCTGTCCTCCTCTATGCCTTCACTCAACGGCCTCATGTCAGTGGTGCTTTTCATCTCTTCTGTCAAAATTAAGAAAATAAACTGTTCTGCCAGGAGCTCATCCTTAGTACTAGCAGATGCAAAAACTCAACACAAAATCGTGAGTTCTTTCTACCCACACTTCCCCTCCCCAAATGCAACAGATCCTCTTGGACCATTTCCACCAAGGCAAGATGTTATTCAACATTTGACTCATCATTAGCACATTTATAAAGACATCGACAAAACAGAAGAGCAGATAAAGCTCAAGTGCTCATTTGTAACTTCACAGAGTGGAGGAATAGATAGACCAATATAATTGACCATATATAGAACATATATTATAGGCCAATATAATATTACAATTTGGATCGCCTTTATAGTGCTACTAGCTGTAAAGCCAAATAAATAAGTGATGGAAATTTGTAAGAATCAGGGATAGGGTTGAGCACATGGCTGTGGCAGAGCATAGGCTTTAGCACGTGTGAAGTCCTAGATCTTCTCTCTCGCACTACAACAAATAAATACAGGAAAACAAATAAGCAACTAAGCTAGTCAGTAAGGGGATAGTACATTCTTTCTTGTTCAGTAACAATGGGCAGTTATTCGAAGTCCTGTTTTCCCACAGATAACCATCCTTGGCAGGCCACAGATAAAGTTCAAGTATCTCCAGCCCCTGGAGAGTAACCCGAACCACGCGGCCTCTCGAGGGGAGTGCACACGTGGAAGGAGAGAGCTCCTCTGCCTCAGAACTTGAGCAAACATGCACATCTACTATTCTCTACGATGACACATGTTACTCTCAGCCATCTGGCTTGAAGTACCATAAATCAGACTTAGGGTGACCATGGCTGCTGGGAGGGCAGAAGCAGGAGCTCTGAATTCTGCACACAAATGTGCAAATCTCTGCCTGGCCCTAAATGATGCAGCGTAGCTCAGTTACCAAGCAGTACAATTAAGAGCAAAATAACTGACATAAATCTCAATGTGTTCACTCCTGGAACCACAAAGAAAGTAAGGGTTACATTTGATTTAATCCACGTGGATTGTCGGCTAGAGTGGAAGAAAACAAAATCCAAATACTCTTTTGAGGAGAAATAACAATCCAGAGATTCTACCATTGATAATGTCCAGGGTATTGTTAACAATGATAGGCAGATAGGAAGATGGGGAAATGTGATGCGCACTTTTCAAACAAGAGGAGTCAAGGAAAGAGAACCTGGCTTGGATGCTGGATCATCAGAGTTTACAGCAGCTGGTGATGCTGTGAGCAAGTAGCCCTCCTATCTCTGCTTTATGACTCAACATGTGGCCTTCAGCTTTGTGCTGGTGTGCGAGTGATACACTTTCTGAGGGAACTGCACTTTGAGTTTTGGTCCGTGGCAGCATCTGGAAGGACATTCTTTTAAGAAGTGAGCCAGTGAGGTGCAGACTCCAGTCAACCAGGTAATCATGAGGGTAAACAGGGAACGCTGTGGGACTCTGTGCCGCTGAGCCACAGGGCACTGAATTAAGGTTAAGCGCACTGAATTCATTTTCCTCTTACCATAGATTGATTGAGGAATATGCATACTTTTTGATTTTTGGTTGGTCATGAGGTTTGAACTGTGGTCTTGGACACTGTCCCTGAGGTTTTTTTTTTTGCTCAAGGCTAGCAAGCTACCACTTTGAGCCACAGCACCACTTCCGGTTTTCTGTGGTTAATTGGTGATAAGAGTCACTAGGACTTTCCTGTTCAGGCTGGCTTTGAACTGCAATCCTCAGATTTCAGCCTCCTGAGTAGCTAGTATTTCAGGCTTGAGCCACTGGTGCCCAGCTTCAATACTCTTTTTTTTTTTTGCAGTACTGGGATTGGAATGCAAGGCTGTGCACTTACTAGGATGGTGCTGTACTATTTGAGCCACATCCCCAACTCTGTTTTTTTTTTGCTGATTATTTTGGAGAAACAGTCTAGCAAACTTTTCTGTGCAGGCAAGGTTTGAACTGTGTTCCTACAGTTCAAGCTAGAATTACAAGCTCAATGTACCACTGTTATTTGACTGTATGTGTACTGTTGATGACTGAATACAAAAGAGAAATAGAAAAAAATCCCCCAAATTTTAGAATTAAAAATACCGAAATTGTTATTCCATGTGGGCTTACCATCCATGTAAGATGACAGAAAAAAGAACCAGTAATCTTGAAATTAGAGTGACATAGATTATTCAGTCTTGAGAACAGAGGAAAATATTGGTAGGAGGCAGAACTAATATTTTGGATACACATGATGATATCAAATGTTTAATTTTCTAAAAACAGGGGTATAACAAGGAAAAACGCTGGAGAGAAAAATAGGTAACAATCGAAAACACTCTAAATGGGAGGAGGTTATGATTTAGATTCAAGAATCCTGGTGAAGCCTATTCAGAGTAAGTACATAGGCAACACACATGCACAGGCTGTGACCATCTCGCCACACATCCTAGGATTTACTTTGCATTTGACCTGAAGGTAAACTCCTCAGAAGGTCACTCAGGCCATCTTTTGCAAGGTGAAAAAGTAAGTTTCTTTTTAGACTTTTCTAGATTAAGAAAAAAGGCCGTATTCCACTACAATGGTGCTACCATGGTTACAGCCTTGGTAATTGCCTCTCTTCCAGTGGAACCAAGAGGCCTGTCTGGTTCCTTTCTGTCTCCCAGAAAACTAACCCAATGCACCTCATATACACTGGACCGCAAACCAGCTACCACAACATGGCCCTAGCCCGAGATTTAATTTGCAACCGTCTGCTGGATACATTTATCTATATGATATTGTTAATTTTTTAATGTTAACTATCGATTTACAACATTTCTATCATAAAGGCTGACATTTTAGGGTGTAGTTTTATGAGTTTCATACATGTGCACGTATGTGGAACTGCCACCAAAATAAAGATAAATCCTTCAAACATTCTTCGTGTCATTTTCTAGCCATTTCTCCTTGTACCCCTTCCCCCACACCTGCATGCCCTTATATAAAGTTCCACAAAGCCAGCGCTAGGTGACAAACCCAGGTGAGCAAGCGACACATCGGGGGTGCTTCTGCCATCTGCGTCCTGTGCTCCGCGTGTGAGCCGTGGGGCCCTCGTGTGATCAGGCCCAGGATGCACGTCCGCGGGAGGACGGTTCACCACATACCTGTGTCTGTGGGGCCATCCCACCGGGCTGGGCTGGCGGGGGTCACCCAGCGCCCGGGTAGGCCGGCCCGGCGGCCTGCGGGTGGCCGGGGCGCTGCGGTGGGCACAGGACTTGGCCTTGCTTGACGGAGACCGGAACGGGAGACCGGAACGGGGCGCCAGGCGCTGCCTGGTCCACTGGGCCGCTGTCCACGAGCGGTTCTTTCCCATCAGACGGCAGCGGGTGCCCGGCGCGGGGCGATGCGGGGCCGTGCGGGGAGTCCCGAGGCGGCGTGGGGGGCAGGGGGGTCGTGGGGGTCCGTGAGGGGCCGTGGGGGTCGGCGTGGGGGGGCAGGAGGGCCGTGGGGGGGAGGGGGGTCGTGGGGCGGGAGGGTCGTGAGGACGCGTGGGGGGAGGGGGTCGTGGGGGTCCGTGGGGGTCGGCGTGGGGGGGCAGGGGGGTCCGTGGGGGTCGGCGTGGGGGGGCAGGGGGGCCGTGGGGGGGGAGGGGGGTCGTGGGGCGGGAGGGTCGTGAGGACGCGTGGGGGGAGGGGGTCGTGAGGGGCCGTGGGGGTCGGCGTGGGGGCTCCGTGGGGAGGCACGCGGCAGGCCCGAGACACAGCGGGCCGGACGCTGTGAGGAGGCCGCCCCGCCCTCGCCCCGCCCTCGCCCCGCCCCCGTTCCCGCCCCCGCCCCTCCCCTCGCCCCCGCCCCGCCCCTCCCCTCGCCCCCGCCCCGCCTCCCGACGGCCGCGGGTCTGAGAAAAACCCGGCGCGGAGCCGCCCGGAGCCGCCAGGACGCAGGGCGCGCATGCGCGGGCCGCGCGGCGGCGGAGTCGGAAGCTCCGCGCGCCCGGCGGCGGCGGCGGCGGCAGCGGCAGTGGCGGCGGCGGCGGAGGGTGGGAGGGGCGCGGCCGGCTCCCGCCCGAGGTTCCGCGGGGCGTCGAGCACCTCGGGGCCCGGCGCGAGAGAGCCGGGGCGGACGGCGGGCGCGGGGCGCGGGGCGCGCGGCGGCGATGTTCCACTGCATCCCCCTGTGGCGGTGCAACCGTCACGTGGAGACCATCGACCGGCGCCACAGCTCGCTGGCGCGCGTGCCCGAGGAGGTGTACCGGCACGCGCGCAGCCTGGAGGAGCTGCTGCTGGACGCCAACCAGCTGCGCGAGCTGCCGGAGGTGAGGGGCGGACGGGCGGGCCGGCGGGCGGACGGGCGGGCGGACCGGCGGGCGGACGGGCGGGCGGACCGGCGGACGGGCGGACGGGCGGGCGGACCGGCGGACGGGCGGGCGGACCGGCGGACGGACGGGCGGACCGGCGGACGGACGGGCGGGCGGGCGGACGGGCGGACCGGCGGGCGGACGGGCACCCGCCCCGGCCTCCCCTCCATCCCACCCCTCACTCCTGCTCCCACCTCCCCTCACACCCCGGCCTCCCCTTTCCCTCCACCCCTCCCTCCGCCCCCGTCCCCCTCCTCCCCCGCCCCCCCCTCCCCCATCCACCTGTGGCCGCGTCCCAGCGCGGCCCTCCCCGCCCAAAGTTCTCCGGCTTCCACCGGGCTCTGCGCCCGCCCGCGGGGACCCCTGAGTGCGGAGCAGCCGAACGCGGGCTCGCCCCGCCCCGCCCCTGTCCCGCCCGCCCGGACCCCAGGCCCGTGTGCCGGTCCTCCCTCCCTCCTGGCCGGCCGGCCCTGGGCCTCGGCGGCCCCGGGACCCGGGCAGCGCACGGGCTCCGCGGCGCCCCGCCGGCGCCCGGGAGGAGGGCCGTGCCGACCGAAGCCGGCCCGAGGCGCCTCCGCTGCGGGGCGGGGACGGGGGCCACGGCCGGCGGCCGGGCGCCGGGGGCCCTGCGCGCCCCGGGACCCGTGCGCGCGCCCCGGGACCCGTGCGCGCGCCCCGGGACCCGTGCGCGCGCCCCGGGACCCCTGCGCGCGCCCCGGGACCCCTGCGCGCCCCGGGACCCCTGCGCGCCCCGGGACCCCTGCGCGCCCCGGGACCCCTGCGCGCCCCGGGACCCCTGCGCGCCCCGGGACCCCTGCGCCCCGGGACCCCTGCGCGCCCCGGGACCCCTCCGCGCCCCGGGACCCCTGCGCGCCCCGGGACCCCTGCGCCCCGGGACCCCTGCGCGCCCCGGGACCCCTGCGCGCCCCGGGACCCCTGTGAGCCCAGGGACCCCTGCGCGCCCCGGGACCCCTGCGCGCCCCGGGACCCCTGCGCGCCCCGGGACCCCTCCGCGCCCCGGGACCCCTGCGCCCCGGGACCCCTGCGCGCCCCGGGACCCCTGCGCGCCCCGGGACCCCTGCGCGCCCCGGGACCCCTGTGAGCCCAGGGACCCCTGCACCCCGGGACCCCTGCGCCCCGGGGTCCCTGAGTTTGTGTGTAAGTCAGTGCTTCTGACTTGTGAGTTGCGCGTGACCCCCCCCTCCCCCCCCCCCCCGTACCCGGTATTCCTGGGCTGGGAACCGCAAGGCAGGACGCCCAGACCCAGAGTGTGGGGAAGGGAGACAGCGGGGCAGCCACAGGAAGCTGCGGAGGTGCGGCCCACAGCCGGCCCTGCTCTCCGGGGGGGCCCCCCACTTTCTCCGCTCTTGTGAGGGACTGGCGGGCTCCTCCTTATCACAGACGTTATCTCTTGGACCTAGCAAAGCCCCCAGGCCTTGCTTTGCTCCCAACCAGAAAAAGCTCTACAATCCCCACAAGTGCTTATTACTTTGCAGTCATTGTCTAATACGTGGGTCTGTCTAGCCTTTGAGTCCAGCGAGGCTTCAAGCTCCCTCACCCCTTTCAGTGTGTGATTTTAGAGGTTGAAATATGGGGTCTGTGGCTTGGTGGTTCAGGGGCTTCACGGTGGAGCTGTTAGAGATTGAGCGAGGAGTCGGTTCACCGGGAGCGTTTGGGGTGCTTTCTGAGATGTTTTCTGTTGTTGGAACTGGAAGATCTCCTCCCACTGGATGGCACTCATTCCAGCCTGTAACACTTGCGGGTTTTCCCGGAAGGCTGGAGTTGAGCTTGGCTTAGGAAGCGGTGGGTTTTGGAAGTGTCAGGTCTCTCTACTGAACAGACATGGAAACTCCTAGAATCTCAAAGTATCGTCTAATGGCACTGTGAAAATGCAGTAGGTAAACATGACAAAGCCAAGAGTTAGACTTGCTTATTGGTGTTTTGCCCTAGCAGCTCTTGAGTAGGTTTGGCAGTTGTGTGGAATGGATTTCTCCCTGACTGACTTGGCCCGGCTGCCTGGGTGTGGCTGAACACACACCTTGAAAGCACTGGTATTTGTTGCGGTTGGTCTTTCCTTGGGCTCTCTCTTGGCCCCCCTGAGATCTAACCCATTCCTGGGCTTGTCCAAGCCGCCGCTCTCTCCCCAACCTGTCTCCAGGTACCACTCCCTGCCAGGCACCCAGGTCCTCGCACGCTGGCATTTGTTTGGAAGCACTGCCAGAGGGAAGCTGGTGGCTCCTCGGGTTGGGCTTCTGGATAACGACAAGTGTGGCAAAAGGCCTGCCACCTCCTATTTGTTCCAACATCTTTATTTACAAATTGAGACTCAGAAATGAAGTGACTCCCTCCCAAACATCCAGCCGGCGAGAAGGAGTCACGGGCTGTTTTCTTCAGTGGACACCTAGCGGGAACCTCGCCTCATTTGGTCATCTAAACTCGGCCTTTCCAAGGGTTTTCCAAACCACTGTTATTTTCTAGTTGTTGGAAGATGGAGATTAAATGGCTTGGGATGCATACAGCTCTGAGGGGAGGCCGCAGGCCTCAGGACAGATGCGATGTGTGGGGGTTGGGACGGGTCAGCACAGTTCATCGCTGATGGACGCGATGGCTACTTACCCAATTATCCGGCCTCTTGCTGACCTGCACTCCTGTCCCCAGTCGTGGCTCCGTCCTGTGGCCTACCTAGGACAGGGCTCAGAACCCGCCTCCTTAGCGCTGGCCCAGCTCATGGGGCCACAGACATTGCGTCCTTTCTCCTTCATCCTTGCTCCTGCCCTCCTTCCTCCCTGCGGCTGTCCTTCCCTGTCTACACTCGCGGACAGCATTTTGATCTTCTCAAGGGCGCTGCTACTCTTCCACTCCTGTGCGTACAGAGCCTCGCCTTGTAACGCTCAGCCACTCTCCACCATTGCGCAGTTAACTATCTGCTGAGCCTGTGCACATCTTCCTTCTCTGCTGATTTCTTTCCTTAAACATCATTGATCCGGCATCTACCCTTTTCCAAACTGGAAGTGGTGGCAGAGGTGAGGATTGTCTGTCTGGCCAGGTGTTTGTCCTGTCTGTGGGGCTGGATCCTTGGCTTCCCCCGTGTACCTCCTCAGCATTTTGGATGACATCCATTTTCTTCCCATGGCCCGTGATTCCTGCAGTCCCTCCCCGTGTGTGTACACCCCATAGAGCTTCCCATAGTAGCCGCAGTATTGTGAGTGTGTGTGCTCCAATCTTCATTGCTTTGCAAAGCAATTTCACCATGTCTGCCGACTCCTCTTGGAGCTTTGCTGGTCTTCTGCTGATGGCTGGAGGAAGTATGTCAGATGTGAGCTCCTCCCTTAGCTTTCCTTACATCTTGCTCTCTAGAGCATGTCCCATGACTATGTATTTGCCTACTTGTTCCTTATGTTTGCCCATCTAGAACACAGGCTCCATGAGGGAGGTGAACTCTGGTCAGTACTGGGCACCTTGTGGGCCCTCCGGTCCTGTGACCACAGTCGGCAGCCCAGACCCCACAGCCGTCCTCCTCCTTCCTGTAGTTGGATTCTTAGCCTGTTGAAACCAAGGAAGGCAACAGTTTTTAAGACCTGTGGTTTTCCATTTCTTTTTTTTTTTCTGGGTCCAGTCGTGGGGCCTGAACTCTGGGCCTGGGCGCTGTCCCTCAGCTCTTCAGCTCAAGGCTAGCGCTCTACCACTTGAGCCACAGCACCACTTCCGGCTTTTTTCTTTTTGCTTATGTGGTGCTGAGGAATCGAACCTAGGGCCTCAGGCATGCAAGGCAAGCACTCTACCACTGAGCCACCTTCCCAGCCCGTCCATTTCTTATCTACTGGACACCTCTGACTGCCTCTGTAATAGTTCTTGGGCGCTGCAGATGTGTGAGTTCAACTTCAGCCCTCATAAGGAGACACCTGTCCCAATGTGGCCCAAGTCCATCTTGACTTAATCCAACCGGGTTTCAGTTTCGGCTTGTCTTCGCACCCGGCTTCTCCTCTGGTCCTGTTCCCGAGGGATGGATGGCCCTTCTTCCTGTCTCCAGTGCTCATGGATCCTGTGATCCTTCTTCTCTCTGTCCGTTTTGTCACTGAGACCTGTTATTCTTTCTTTCCAGATGCCATCCTTCTTTCCTCCTCTGTCTCTCACGCCTGCTGGGTTGTCTGCACCAGTTCACACTGGCCATTGCTGCCAGTCTTTGCCAGAGCTCCTCACAACTTGCTGCCTGAAGAGGCTGAGCATCTGCATGTTAGTGTCAGACAGTTCAAGACTGTGTTCCCTCTCTAGAATGTTCTATTCCCACAGCTGTTAGAGAAGTACTTATAAAATTGTTCAGGATCAAGCAAATGTCATGCATAAGGTGCTTTGGGAGTCAACCCAGAGTTAGATCTGACATAATCAAAACATAAGATCATTTTTTGATACTTGGGCAAGGACCCTCTATTATAAAACAATGAAGTATGAAGATTTTTTTGGGTATGTATGTATGTATGGTGTTTTTAAAACCAGAATTAAGTTTTTAATCTTCCTTTCAATCATAATGTTTAAACATTCTGTCGTCCAGATGGCCTTATGGAAGAGTAATGCCACAGGACCTTAAGGTGCCTGTGTTTCTTGGGGTGCTCGGGTAGTTGTCTGTAGCTAATGAGGAAGAAATGGTAAGGCCATATGACAGAAATGGGTGTCGGTCCAGGGAGCAGAAGAGCTCACAGCATTTGTTTGGGAGAAGTACTGGAGGCTTAAAGGGGCCCCAGCCCTGGCTGGTGAAGCCATGAGGGGTTTCGGGCAAGGACCTGCTCCTGGGAGGCTTGTACTGGACGGAGGCATTGACAGCGGGCAGATGGCCTGTGTGTGATTGTATTAGTGTTCTTTCTAGTTCACTTCACATTGAGTCTTCTTCTATTTTTGTCTTCTCGGATTTTTAATAGTCAATTACGTAATAGAAAATTAAGAAAAAAAAAGTCCGTGCTGAG